AAATTAAATAAAAGTAACGACTTTCTACTTCTTGCCTTTTTTAAACTGTAAGGAGTAAAAAGTACAGATAATTGTCTGAAAATCTCAGAAGTAGAAGTAAAAAGTAGATTGAAAAATAATTACTCAAGTAAAGTACAGATACCCAAAAAATTTTTACTTAAGTACAGTAACAAAGTATTTGTACTCAGTTACTTTACAACTCTGGTATCAGGTGCATAACTGGTAAATACATATTACATAACTGGTGCATGAGKAATATCTAGTACAGTACCAAGTACCTGGTCCAAATAAGTAACCAGTACCGCTCACCCAGTACAGGGTTCACGTTAATACCATTTATTTACTTGAATATTTGGTAAATACTTTTAAAAATACTTTTTAAATGCTGCTTTGAGTAAAGAMCGGTTATGTGCCTAGTACTAACCTGGTACAAACAGGGTATACCAGTTAAGTACCTGGTGAAAATTGGTTTTGTACCAAATATAAAAGCAGGTAAATGCCCGTTACATACTTGTAAATAGTGTTAAGTGCTGGGGYTTGTACCATTTACTTATTTGCTTACCTGTCATGTAGCAGGTACTGATCACATACCTGGTACTTGACAGGAACTGGGTACAGGCTGTGTTACAAACTGTATTGCTACTAAAAGCACTTTGCTTTAATAAATATTATAAACGATGATTCATTGAAAMTGATTTTTTTTAGTGGTGGAACAAACAAAGGAGGTAAAAAAGGAGGAGGAAAAGGGAAAGAAGAAGAAAAACAAGAAAAAGGACAAAGAGAAAGAACACRTGGACACACAGAAAACAACCAAAACAACCAAACAAGAGCGTAAAAGTAACTAACGACTCACCTTCAGTCAGATAAAGCTTTAATAGAACATCGACAAGCTTACCGCTCTCTCTTTTGCAGAGAAGCATTTACAGGAAGATTCAACTCCTGAGGCAGAATCAGTGGTCGAAGAGCCGAAGAGTGAACTCAAAGAAAGTGATGACGAAGAGGAGAAGAGTTCTCAGGGGCCCGCTCCTCCATCGCCTTTGAAGAAGAAAACCCTGGACACATGTGAGTGATGATGTGTGATCAAAAACCCATTCGAGAACTAGTTCAAGTTACGACTGCCTGTTCAAATTTACAGCCAGGTGCCAAATAAGTGAGGAGAGCAAAGATGAAGAAAGCCAAGAGAAGGTGAAGACGGAGGACAAGTCCAACACCACAGATAAAACTGCTTCGAGCCTGGGATCGCTCAACTCCAACTACAGGGAGACCTCGTCCTCTGGGAGCGAAGAYGACAGGGTGAGACACGAATGCAGGYGAAACATCTTTAAAYATGTTGCCATGAAGACGTTCAATCATTTCTCCATCGTTTCTTCTCAGCTRTCGTCTCCATTGTTGTTGGAGGATCTCGAGAAGTTCGCCTTGCGTCCCGCTCCCAGACACACTACAATCCAGTGYAGGGTGACCCGGGACAGGAGGGGCATGGAGAAGGGCATTTATCCAACCTACTACCTGCACCTGGAGAAAGATGACGGGAAGAGGGTCGGCACCTCTCTCAAACTTCTAACTTACAAATCTATTTATTGTTCAGGCTTCTCCAGCTGTCGTGTGTCTATCAAAACTCTTTATTTACCTTTTTTGTTTTTGTTTCACCCCGAAGGTGTTTCTGATGGCGGGCAGAAAAAGAAAGAAGTGCAAAACCTCCAACTATCTCATCTCGGTTGACCCAACGAAACTAAGCAGAGATACCAACTCGTACATCGGAAAACTGCGGTACAGCTTTATCAGTCAGAATCCTTAAAACTGAGATATTTTCTTTTTTTAATAACCACTCATTCAGATGACGGCAAAGTCCTTTTGTTTTACTTTAAACCCCTCTTTTATTTAATTGATGCTTAAAGATCACTGCTGGAAGGGTTCATGAAATGAACAGATTTATGTGACACCTCTGTCCATCTAATGAGCTCAAGCCCAAACAAGGAGCAAGTGAATTTTGATTTTGTCGAGTTATAGTTTGATCGCTGTAAGGTGGAGTTCCCACACTCAGTTTTGTGTGCAGATATGAACACTGTTCACGAGCTCACACACTGATTTTATCTGCAGGTTGCTTGTGTCTTAACATGATGTTGCATGAGAGTTAAGTTTTACTGACGAGAGAGAAACCAAATTCTTTGCAGGTTTATGTTTAGAACTATAGATTTTAATCTAGAACCACCCCCACCTCCATTTTTATTAATGAAAGACTCTGTTGATTTCAATGTTACCCAAAGGTGGCAAAACTGAAAATCTCACAGAGAAACGCCAGCAGCCTCCTCTGCATTTATCTTGCTTCTGTACCCAGAATCTTACAGAACTCTTTGATTTAGGTCCAACGTTCTGGGTACAAAGTTCACAGTGTATGACCGAGGTGAAAACCCAGAGAGAAAACCCTTCATCCAAGAGTGCGACTCGGTGCGGCAAGAACTGGCAGCCATCTGCTATGTGAGTACCAAACGCACACAAACACACTTCGCACAAAGTAGCCCGCAAGACACTCCGTTCTGTTCCAGGAGACGAATGTCCTGGGATTCAAGGGTCCGAGGAAGATGACCGTGATCATCCCCGGCATGTTGGAGAACAACGAAAGAGTGTCCGTTTGTCCCCAGAACGTAAGTCTTAAAGGGATCCATGATTAGTTGTAACATTAGACTTTATTTAATAAACATATAATTTAACTGTAAAATAAAGAC